TTATTATTATTATTATTATTATTATTATTATTATTATTATTATTATTATTATTATTATCATAATCATCATCACCCTCATCATCCTCACCGTCATAAAGGAATGGCGCATTAGAGATCGAATAATGAATTGTTTTTTTTTATACCACTCCAGGTGGCGTTTTACATATAAGCATTATTCAATGGACTACGAAGGAGACTTTACAACAAATGTAAGTACACTTATTGAACATTTTGCATCTTTATAATTCACTAGTTAAATGGGAATTCTGTCATCATTCTATGGTTATTATTTTGACAATTTCCTCGACAGAAGCATGCACTGACATGATGCATTCTATTCAACAACATACATTCCAAGTGACTCGCTAAAACCACCAAAAGACCTGAAACTTGCTAAGAAATGTATTTACAGTAATTACAGCTTGGGGCTTGTTAACTTCCGTTCATTGTTTACATTGTAGATTCGTATCTGTTTTTTCATTGACAATATAGGCCTATGCAATTTATTACCAAGAACTTTTAATCGTGAATAATCGAAATTTGTTATAGCCCGACAAAAATGTTTCTATATTATTTTTAAAGGACAGCGAAAGTGATCGGGGTAGGCCCAAATGACACCGTCTTTATCAACATTGATACTAATATCGTCATGGTTGTGTACTTCCATGAAGTCGATATAAAATAAAGGTACTACTGTAGTGACGGATCCAGAAATTTTAAATAGAGGGGATCCAGGGGAACTTTCACATATGGATTTATGATTATGTCACCTCAATGGTCCGTGCTCTAGATGGCCGGAAACGACTTAAATATGAATACAATTTTCATTTATTCTCCATTTTCAAATTAATTTTTGAATAATTTAGGCGGTGGCCGGTTGCACATTCCCCTTTTCGAATATACAGAACAGTTCAGAATTTTATATAGGACTGTAATAATAATAATAATAATAATAATAATAATAATAATAATAATAGTAACAATAATAATAATAATAATAATAACAATAATAGGCCTAATTATAATAATAAGCCTAATAATAATAATAATAATAGGCCTAATAAGAATAATAATAATGAAAAGTTAGAAAGTGCCAGTATCCCTTTAAGATGAAACGCTCATGGCGCCCCTTCAAAAGAAAGTCGAAATGTGAAATACATTTACATTTACAATACATTTGAAATAAAGATACATTTTAAAAACCAGACATGAGCCGTACATGGCTGAGCGTCTCTCTCTCTCTCTCTCTCTCTCTCACTCTCTCTCCCAGTTTTCAATAAAAGATAAGGCAGCAGACCATGATTTAACAGAAAATGTCGCTAAGAGGAAGAGTTTTCTACAATTTAGCTGCCTTAATGAAAACCGATTTTAGAAAATAATGTAGTCCTAACAGTCCTTGATTATAGAGGGATCTATGGGATTTTAAAAAAGGATAAGCCACACTTGTAGGGCAATTAGAGGAGAAATATTTAGCAAAAAGTACAACACGGCTAACTTCTGACCTCCAAAGGGAATACATTAAATAACCTCAGCCAGTCCTTATATACTCCGCAGAAGTTGGTGGGGCCAGATTTATCAAACTAGAAATCGGCTTAAAAATTGTCCATTTTTTTTTTATTGCTTAGCTCATGCTTAAAATTAAAAAGTCGACTGTACGCATGCGCCATCTAAGACAATTTTTAACCTAAGATTTTGCTAAGATGGTTTGATAAATCAGCTTAAAATATTTGCTTTAGGGACATCTTAACTTTTTGGACTCAAAACATTTGCTAAGCTGAGATTGATAAATCCCGGGTCTGGGCCCCAGTAGCAAATGTTGTTTTAAACTAAACATTATTTTTAACTTGGAACGCAACTAGCCTAGTTACTCATGTAGTCCCAGTTACCATAACTAACATCAACTCCCTCGTCCGACTCCACGACATTAATTTGCCGGTCAAAACAAATATATTTTGATAGCCAATCCAGTTGTGGTCAAAAATCTCCTGAGCGATCCTGTACCGTAAGATTTCTCCCCATGAACCATTGGCGGCGCTACGGGGGTGTTGGGGCTAAGCAGGGCTACAGCACACCCCCACCGTCGGCGAGAAAAACCAAATATAAAATCGATTAAATAAGCCTATGAAAATGAAACCCCTAAATTGTCATATTTTCGGGGGACTACGTCCCCTGGACCACTTTCGAAAGGTTTTTAGCGGCGCCCGACCAAGCTCACTTTTTCTCGTCGGTCACGGACATCAGCCCCACCCCCCCGAAGGGGACCTTGGACTCCCGTCGGGGAGATCCTGGCGCCGCTGCCATGAACCTTACCCCAGGGATTTTATTCCGGGACCCTGAACAAGGCTCTAGGCATCACCTTGTTTCAGACCCCGATCAGAAAAGTTGGACCCCTATCGACATTTTTCTCATTTTTCTTGAATTGACGAACATTTTACTACAAAATTATTAAATCGACGCTACCAGCCAATTTTAGTAGTCTATGTATAAATAAGAATATAGCACTGGTATAATTTAACTGTCTGTTAATTGACAGGAAAGCAATTTTGTCATTCATATATTTAATTGTAAGCTTGTTACTTACTTAAATATAATTTTCAGTTATGGAGTTAAATTGTTTATCTTTCAGCTCAAGACTGACAGTGTATATTTAAATTGGACCTTATTGGAAATGGGCTAGACTCGGCCCTAATGGGCGTTCCTGATGCTCATTACGGTAATTTTTACTTTTCTTGATCTCAATCCATTTGTTATCTTGCTTATGCATGTTGAACATCGAATAACTTCAATCAATCAATCAAAAAATATTATATCATGAAAAATGTTTGTATGAAGATTATAGATATAGTATTATGTTTATTGTTTATTGTCTATATATTCATTTCTATCGAATAGTACACTTTTTATAAATTTTATTTACCCATGACAAGCGGAATGCTAACATAATTTGTTTGCGCTATTCTTGAATTGACGAACATTTTACTACAAAATTATTAAATCGACGCTACCAGCCAATTTTAATAGTCTATGTATAAATAAGAATATAGCACTGGTATAATTTAACTGTCTGTTAATTGACAGGAAAGCAATTTTGTCATTCATATATTTAATTGTAAGCTTGTTACTTACTTAAATATAATTATTCAGTTATGGAATTAAATTGTTTATCTTTCAGCTCAAGACTGACAGTGTATATTTAAATTGGACCTTATTGGAAATGGGCTAGACTCGGCCCTAATGGGCGTTCCTGATGCTCATTACGGTAATTTTTACTTTTCTTGATCTCAATCCATTTGTTATCTTGCTTATGCATGTTGAACATCGAATAACTTCAATCAATCAATCAAAAAATATTATATCATGAACAATGTTTGTATGAAGATTATAGATATAGTATTATGTTTATTGTTTATTGTCTATATATTCATTTCTATCGAATAGTACACTTTTTATAAATTTTATTTACCCATGACAAGCGGAATGCTAACATAATTTGTTTGCGCTATTGCGATCTACCAGTCCTACCTTAATGTCATGTACAGTATTTAATACCGGTAATCCTTACATCATTCCATGGTATGATGATACTATAGATAATTAATATTCAATATGATAATGCTGATATGATGAGAATTGTGAAGCACTATTATGTTGTATCAGCAGCATTGTCCATTGCGATAACTGAATGATAATGTTAAAGTTGGGGTACTCCCCTGGGGGGGGGGGGGGGGCCGTGGGGGGGGTGGCCGTGGGAACGGCAAAGTCCCTCTGTTTTTATTTATATATTATGTTTTGATGATACTCCGTTACAATTCTTTCTCTGTTTCCTAATCTCTTCTCAATATTTTTCTATTCCAGTGATGTAGACAAAGAAGCCACAACTATCAGGGAAGAATGTCCGGACTCAATCGTGAAAGGGCAACAGAACTTACCAATTATTCGTAAATAGCCAGAAATTGTGTAACTCATCAAGCTTCCTGAAAGAATTCTGGATATGAAATTAATTAAAATATAGTGTAAATTTTATTTTTTAAATGTTTTCCTCTGCAATAATCTCAGAAATAATGTTAGCAATATGTAGTAGGCCTAATTCTTATGTTTATAAATATTGTACTATTACTGCTAATATTTATCTTATTAATAGAGAAAGTAACCCGTTTGTTGTAAAGAATATAGACATGTAAGATAATAAGATATAACATTTCCAGGATTAAAATCAGATTTATTGATATTTGCCGGATGAACATGATATAGGTCTAACAGTATATAAAC